CGCAAATGAATCAGAACGTGTATTTGCTCAAAAGAGTTAATCTTTATTAACAGCCCCAGAATGCCCTTCAGCTGGTGTGCAGCCTGGTTCAAAGGTTTTCAAGAAAAACAACATACCATAAACCAAAGGGCAACGCTAATTGGAAGCAAAGTAATTTCTCTGAAAACAGCAATACCTTTCTGTGGGTTAATAACCGGAAATTAAATTTCAGGTATGTTAGCATAACCCATCATAAAGCACCAGGTGAATAAGGGGCCATGGGCAATAAGGGCAAGGGTTCGGAGCACGCACAGTCACTGTCCTATAGCAACCCCTATTCCTTGGTCGGAGTCACTATTCTCAAAGGATTAGTCTCCAGCCTTGATCCCGCTGGTTGAAGGGAGCGGTTTGCACAAGAAGGCTCCTCTTGGTGCTTTGGTGGTGGAATAAGGAGGGACATAAATCCAGGTGTCCCCCTAAGCAGCATTGCTCTGCTCACATCCTGCCACGTAGAGCTGGGGCAGCAGCAAAGGGGTGCTGTGACTCATCCCTCTGGTTTGATGTTCCCCCAATCCTATGCCCACAGGTCAGCAGTGCTTCAAACCACTTCTCCTTCTGCCCTGGATACAAGGGAAAGATTAGTCCTAAAAAATGACTAGTTTCAATGTTAAAATGTGATAAAATGGAGAGTGGGTACAAATGCATGCTGGGATTGAGCTTGCTGATGGTGGCATTGCCTGAAATGGAAACTCAGCTAATATTTGGACTGCAGGGTGTGTGTCTCTTATAAGGAAATGGCTTAATCTGGAAAAGGAGGCAGAAACACAAGGTCAGATCCTCTCTCCTCTGTCCTCATTTCCTCTTCTGGATGTGTTCGCTGCCCAGACACTGCAGAGGAGTCCAGAGGCTGATGTATCTGAGACTGGTCCCCAGGATGTCTCTCACCTGGGATTCCTACAGTAACCCCTATTCTGGGTTATTGTACTGGCAGCTGCCGGGATGGGTGCTGAGCAGGGATGCAGAGCACCTCCAAGTGACATCTTGTAGGTAGTGTGGTTGGGAGGAGACAGATCCTGCCCAGAGGTTGCCCTTACCCTGCACCATATAATGAAGTCATCTGTGGGTCAAGCCAGACTGATCATAATATTGAGTTGGAGATACCATTGCAGACCATCTGCTCTCCTGGGAGTTGGGACATGAATAAAAACGTGGCCTCAAGCATTTACTGTGGCTGCAATGACACTCCCTCTGCCTGGAAAGCCCACATCTCTGCTTTTTGACACACTAGAGAAAGGTTTGCTGTTTACTTGCTTTATTTCCAGCTGTTGATGGTTAAGCTGAAGGGTGGGAAAGCCTGAAAGCCAACATAGGCCTGGGCAAGAGAAAAAGCTCTTGCTTTTTTCTACATCTACATCATCTACATCTACAATCTACACCATCCACGTCACGGGCTGCAGAAGGGATGGTGACAACCAAGTGGCCATGAGGAAGGATGGCTCTTTGTGGCTGCAAACCCCGAGCTCTGCTCAGAGCAAGCTGCTGCTGCTCAGGGGCGATTTTATTTTTGCCTGTCGCTGTGTTCACGAGACTTCTTGTCTGTAGGCCTCTCTCCCACTGAACCCATCCATCACCGGCGCTGACAGAGGTTCCTGCTGCCCGAAAGGGCCAGGAAGACTCCGTGGAGCCAGAACCTCAGGGGTCAAGTCCAGGTTGTGGTGTCTGAGCAAACGCCGCTCAGGATACGCGCGGCCCGACGTCGTGTTTGGGAGGCAGCGGAGGACCCAGAGGGAGGAGAAGGAAGGATAGGATGTAATCTTTCATCTTCCAAGCAAGCCTGCAGGATGGGAATATTTCTTTTTTGCTGCTTCTGTGGGTCTGGCCCCGGGGGGGTGGAGGAAGGGAGTCCCCAGCCCCATCTCCACAGCCCGGGCACCGCTCTCCTGAGAATCTGCTCGCTGGTTTTGGCTGCAGGAAAAATATACCATTCTGTGATTCTCTGAAAATGTTAAGGATGTTGTGCTGAACTCAGTGGTGCTTCTTGTGTGGATATAGAAGAAATAGAAGATCTAAAGGCACGGATGTGCCAGGGTCGTGGTCCAGTGTGGCACCGAACTGATGGACACAGCAGTGAGCCCAGGGTACCCCAGGGCAGCTGCCTCCCAGATCACCCCATAAAGTTGGTCACGGATGCACTGGGCTTCCTTCCTCTCCAGGGTACCACCATCATCTTCCTCTTTGCTCTCACCAGCAACCCCAGCGGTACCAGTGCTGGAACTACATGCATCTGGTTTTACCCAAAATTCTATCCACCATGTCCCCCGGTGCTCCCAGTGTCAATGCTCAACTGGTCCAGGCTGGCAGCCCTTATTCACCTGCCAGTCTCACCCACAGAACGTCCTATGTCCCTCGTGGGTTGGGAACATTGCCCTGGGGCTGCTCCCACGTGCTACCCCAGCTGATGGGGACCATGGCACACCACAGCCCACCTCAGCACCCCCGCTTTATGGCAGGAAAACCCTGTAAAATGACCCTCACTCACTCAACACACTGGGGTGGTGGCCCCAGAGATGGGCACCCACTGGACATCCCTTACTGAGCAGTGACAACAGGTACCCTGGTCATTTCTCACTCCCAAACAGCACTTTTTTTGGCCCCATCTCCCTGGAAGGATGCTTTACCCCCCACTGTATCCTCCTCGCAGCACCCCCGCTTTATGGCAGGAAAACCCTGTAAAATGACCCTCACTCACTCAACACACTGGGGTGGTGGCCCCAGAGATGGGCACCCACTGGACATCCCTTACTGAGCAGTGACAACAGGTACCCTGGTCATTTCTCACTCCCAAACAGCACTTTTTTTGGCCCCATCTCCCTGGAAGGATGCTTTACCCCCCACTGTATCCTCCTCGGCAGCCCCGGGGGCAGTCCCAGCCAGCCCTAGCAGAGGAGCAAGCACCCAGTCACACTCACATTGTTTCAACACATTTACTTAATTAGTTTATCAAGAAATGTGTTTGGCCTCTTCTGATACTCGGGAAATGCTGCCTGTCATTCTCAGGCACCCTGCGGGGCCCCGGGGAGCTGACAGACCCTGGCTCCTTCCTATCTCTCCTTAACTCCATTTGCCGGGCCTATTTCCCATTTTATTTTTTTTTTTTCTTTCCATGTAGCACTCCCTCACCATTTTGGGATTCAAGTAATAGATAGCAAAATTATGCCCAAAAGAGGACCGTGACAGGTAGAGGAGCAAAGTGAGTAAGGTCAGGGAGGAGCATCTGGAAAAATGTTAAATCAGTGAAAGTGTAGGAACTTGAAATATGTTTTTATACCCCTCCAGCTAAATTCTCAGCAGATTGGAACCACTTCACAGAAGTGGCAATGAGTGAAAAATGACTAATTATGTATAAAATATTCATTCAATGCTTCCCTATATGAAGCAGAGGATGGTCCATCAATGCTGTGTGACCCAAAAGAGAGGTGGGCACTACTGCTGCATCCATCAGCCGCTGCCCAAAGCTTTCCTTTGCAACCATGTCCCTCTAACAAAGCCTGTTCAAGTGAGGATGGGACAAATCCAGATGAGACCTCTTTAAGAGCAAGAGGGACATCCCCCACCCTGGCTGGAGGGGCTGGGCTATGTAAAAGAGATTATTTAGGTGCTTGGGTGTTGGTGGAGTGGGGAGGTGGATACACTGCTGGTCCCAGGTGGGCTCAGGTAAGCACCCACCACCCTGGATGAGGCAGAATTTACCCCCAGGGGAATATTTGCTGCTCTCCTGGTGTGCAACAAACAAGGTTCAGTGTCCAAGCAAGCCTAGGAAAAGTAAGACCCATGGACCTACTCCTGCCTGGGGCTCTGCAAACAGCATCTGTGTTAAATTCTCTGTTGTCTCAGGGAAATGGCTTCAGGGTCTGAAGAAGTAATCTTGGCTTCTGCCAGAGGTGCTTCATTCATCAGTGGAGAGGTTTGAAATCTCTCTCTCCTCGTGAGGCTCGAGTCTGAGACCTCTCTGTCCCTGTTCCCAAACTGCTGCCAAGGACGTGCTACTTATGGGGTTTCTGTGTTCAAATTTGGCAGGACATGGCCCAGGAGAGCCCACCTACTGAGCTTCACCTGCAGCTATTTATCTGTATGTGGGATTACTGGGGTAATGCAGGCAGTCCTGGCTGCTTTATTAGCTAAAACCCAGATTTGCTGTAGTAACAGCTGAGCAGTTTTAAGGGATTATTTCTATTCTAACCTTTCTTGTTGCTCCTGATGTCAGTCATGGGTGTGTATCGTGTTGTTTCCTGTTGCTTCATAACTGTCTTCCATCGAATTAAGTTCATACTGTGAGGTTTTTTGGTGGGTAAAACATAGTTATGGGGCTCTCCTTGGTTCTCCTCTCCCAGCTGTGTTAGTGGCAAGCTGGCAGACAGTGAGGAAGCCAGCACTTGTGGGTGGTAGCCTACATCATCTGGTCTTCAGGGCCATAACAGCCAGGTGATTTCTGGTTGGCAAAGTCCCATGATGTCTTAACTGATGTTTCACGGGCTTAATGACTCTTTTCCAACTCCATTCGTGTCTCTGACCCAGTGAGTTGCTGTGGTGGGCTTGATGCAGATATGTCTATGAAACGAAAGCCTGAAGGTGAGATTTAACTTATGCAAGCCACAGAACAAAGCAATATTATGGCTTTTTTCCTCCTGATAGTTGTCCTTCTCTGTTAAACTAAACAAAAATAGCTGTGCAGATATGTCTATTCTGAAACAAAAGCCTGAAGGTGAGATTTAACTTACGCAAGCTGCAGAACAAAACAATATTATGGCTTTTTCCTCCTGATAGTCATCCTTCTCTGTTAAACTAAACAAAAATAGCTCAGATGGGGGAGAAAAAACCCACCCTTTTTCTGTTCAGTGCCTGGAATAGGAACACAGGAGGCATTTTCAGACTAGTTCTCTCTTCATAAAGAATATTCCCCCTAAAGAAATCAAAGTTTACTCATGGAGGCACCCTGTGCTATGGCATCAGAGACCCATTGGCCATCGCATAACCAGTAACCTGTTGGTCTCTTCGCAGGCAGAGCCAGCTCCAGGGAAAGGCAGGAGAGCTCGGCAGAGACCCCCGGCTTTGACGTGCTCCAAAAATCCCGTGAGTGTTTCTGATGATCTCAAAGGGGTTTCTTTATTTATAACACTATTACTTGGAGCTCAGGTGCAGTGGCTGAATCGTGTCACCTAAAGAGTAGGTGATATCACCTGAACAGCAGCAAATGTCTGTCCATCATGGATGGGGTGGGGAAAAACATCTTTAATTGCTGCTGTTAAATTCTTAATTGTGCTGATGCGACCGTTGTGTGATAACTAGGTGTGTAATGGCAGCTCTGTTGCCTTCATTGTGTCTAATCCCCCCGCTCACATTGAAACTTGTGTACTGTGGTTGTTTTCCCCTGCTGGCATCAGCGAGCTAGAACTGTGGTCTATCTCCCCATCCTAAATCATGCAGGAGATGCTGTTACTCATCCATCTGGAAAGGGATGTCTTTCTCTTCCCTGAAGACTGATGTGATCCCACTTTTCCCTGTTGGGATGAGGAGGAGCATGCTTGCAGGCTCCCATTATCGCAGTGGGATGGAGCGGGATGGAGCGAGGGCGGGCGGTGTTGAGTGATCTTTGCCAGGTACCCGGCTGGCGTTGCCAAAGCACGCGGGGCTTTCCTCCCAACCACTTCCACCCCAGGAGAAACATGTCTCCTGCTGCCAAGGGTACGGGAATGTCACTTAACGTGGGGAGAGCGCAGCATTGCAGTGTGACAGCCACTTCACCAGTCAGTCCAGCAACGCTCTGTAGAAACAAAAGGTTGCGTGCTCCGTGCCAGAAGGACTATCTTTGCTCGCAGTGGAATACATCAGATGTCTGGCAATTTCAGGGAGCCGTTTTCAATAAAAACATGAGGAAACGGGAGTCATGAGTCACGCAGCAGTATCTTCTATAGTTCAAGGCGTGTTGGCTAAGTAGATGTCACGTTCCTACAGCTGCTCTTAGGATGAATGTTGTAGAAGCTACCTCCAAAGTCTGCTTTTCTTCCCTATCAAAAGACCCTTCTAGATCCAAAGCTGAGCCACTTACACCCTGGATTTCTTTTGTTTTGGGTTTTTTGTTTTGTTTTGGTTTTTTTAGGAAATGAATAAAGGTGGGTGCTTGTTTCTCTGATGTCACTTAAAATGTAGCACCTTTCCTTTGATCTACTTCTGTGCTCTTCTCTCCGTATGACAGCATCCTGTCAAAACAGAGACAAGATTCCCTTCTCTTGTATCAGTAGAAACCTTGTCCAAAATCACAGAACAAGCCTCTGGCATGGGTGGGGGGGGTGGAGAGGCACTGAGGAAACACTGGTTCTTGGTCATGGGTTGTTAGAAAAATAGGTTAACAGTTGGAGCAAGCTGGCACTTCCACTGTCCAAAAAAGATGGAAAGTAACATAAAAGCATCACCAAACTTTCCTATCAATCCAGGACCAGCACGTTAGCTCTCTGAGTAGCTGTGGAGCTCTGAAAAGAGCTCCTTTTTCTGTAGAGGGACTTAGTTCTCACTAGAAAAAGTTCAATGCATGTTGTCCCATCTCACTCCTGCTGTGGTCTTTTCACTGAGTGCAGTGAAATTTAGACGAGTCTGAGTTCTGTTTCAGCACTTGCTTGGGTTCAGGATGGAGTCGAGTGCAGTGAAATTTAGATGAGTCGGTTCTATTTCAGCACTTGCTTGGGTTCAGGATGGAGTCTGGCTCCATCCGTGGCTCTGCTGTGCTGTAAGCAATGTTTGAAGAGTAAATGCTGGTGGCCTGGAGAAGGTGACCAGAGCTCTCTGCTTGTGCATTCACAAGTCCTGAAGACCTCTGCACGCTCTGCCCGTGCTGCAGAGTTCTTACTGCCTGGTCATGGTCCCCTGTCCTAGAAGGATGGCCTTTAGATAAGGCTCTATTCTGCTCCAGGGTGGCTGGTAACTCTCGTTCCTCTCTTGTTCCCACGGGCTGGGAGAATGGAGATTTCACAGATGCATCCTAAGCTGTGTTTGAAGAAGTCTCTTCCTTTACTGAAGGTCCATGCCTACACCTCAGTAACAATAGTGTGGTGTCCACAAGGCCACATCAGCTCACACACAAGTACAGGGTGAGTCACTCGCCAGCATTAACACTCAATATAAATATTGATTGGGGAAGAATAAATAACCCCTCTCCTTGGAAAGGGTCCTAAGCTTCGTTAGGTGGCATGAGTTAAGAATACAAGAACTTGTCCGTGGGGTCGTGAATACGTGCTTAATTAAGTATGTAACTAAGTGACAGTATGGATGTAACATATATGACTCAGAAACGTAAAGTTCTTACTTCTTCCTTCCTGTTTTCCCTCCAAATGGCTTAGGGAGACCCCCTGGATAGTGTTACTTGCTGAAGTACTAGGAAGCACATAAGAATATATCAACCTCATTCCCAGCTCCACTAAGCAAGTACATGAAGGACAGTTAATTAAAACACTTTAGAGAATCTAGTAATTTGGACTAGGATTAAGAAAGGAGCATTGCTCTGCCACCACGGCGGGGCCGGAAGGGCTGTCTGATGCTGACTGCATCCCAGATTTCCCAAGGCTGTCATACCGTCAGACGCTGCCATGATCTGTGAGGCTTTATTCCCAGATAAAGATGTGAACTCCCGGCTCTTGTCACAGATAACAGCACAAAGCATTACAACGACAACACGGCCACTTAAAACGGGGTTTCAAACGCGCAGCCATTTGTTACTGTCCTCGGTGCAGCTGCTGGACCGGGCTCTGCAGGTTGTTCTCAACTGGGAGAACTGAGCTGGGAGAGCTCATCTCTACGTCCTCCGGTTCTTTACGGGTTTTTACCCCTCTGTGCTGCTGGGCTGGTGCCTCTGTACCTGCCATCAGCTGCTGTGGGGCTGCTAAGGGCTTGTTGGGAAGTGAGGATGTGTAGCCTTGAGGTTCTTCATGCTAATATTTCTCAGGGGTGGCCCCGTGGGCATCCTTCCTGGCAGCAGGTACCTCATTGCTGCATTTTGCCTCATTAATTACCAGCACAGCAGGAGTGGGTGCTCATCAGGGTGCTGCTGGGACCAGGGTCTGAGCCTGTGGGTGTCTCTCCTGTTGCATTGAAGGATGAGAATTGAGGTCTCGTTTTCGTGGGGCAAGTGTCTGACCCGTCTTCACTGGGAACCTGTAGCTCTGGTTCATTTGCTTCATCACAGGAAAGTTCTCCAAAAAAACCTGCTTTTATAAGAAAACCTGTTCTGAAATAAGTTGTTCAGTGATGAAACTTCTGGAATCTTCTGTGTACAATGGCAATGAGTACAGAGTAAATTTAAATTATCTGTAGGGCGGTACACTGCAAGAGCTACAGCTTCTGAAGGTGGTGCCATTCCTTCAAGTAGAGTTGCACCAAGTCAGGGCTGGTGGAGCTGATTTTGGGGAACTATTTGAATTACTGGTGGTGTATTTCATTGCCTACTTAGAGCTAGAAAAGCTCCCTGATAGAAAACCCTTAAAAAAATGCTTCTCTGCTCTACTGTGTTGCAAGTGACCTTTTCCATGGAGGTGGAGGCTGGTGCTAAGGTGGTCCCCAGCATCCTCCTTTCACCCAGCCCATTGCCGGTGCCCGTGACCAGGCAGGGACGGGGCTGGGATTGGGATCCCCAGTGCGGGGCCGCGGCCGGGCTCCCATTGTTCCCCGCCTGCCAGACAAAGGGTTAAGTAAATGTTTGGAGAAGATAAGGTGCCCTGTTGACAAGCAGCAGGCTCCAGCGGTCTCAGCAGGATCTCTCCCAGCGGTGATAAATGGGGAGGTTTTCAAAGTGGGATCAGCAGACGCCACGGAGAGGGCGGTTGCTGATGCCGTGATTGGCAGCGGGGAAGGAATCTGAAGGTGTTTAATGATCCCACACTCTGCCGCAGCTTTTTTAAAGACTGTGTCTAGCCAGAGGAAAATCCTCTATCAGCCACAGAGGCTCACACTCCCGGCTCTTTTTTGTTGTTGTTGCTTTTTTCTTTTTTTTTTTCCACTAAAACATGGGAACATCTACTAAAAGGGATCGTGATAAGGACCCTCTGGGATTCCTCATCCTCTCACATTGGTTTTGTCCCTTTTAATTTTCTCTTTGAAGTGTCCTGCGTACAGTTAGTCGACTGTTTTGTTTGGCTAACTTTAATCAGGGGCTGTGTTTTGGGGGAAGTAGAGTATATTAAATTAATAAGTGGGATTTTTTTCCCCTCTCTGTGTAACTGTATCATTCCAATTACTGACTCGCCATACCTTCGCTATAGTAAATATATCAACAAATGACATCAAGAGTGAAAACCCTGAAGGATTTGAACCCCTGATGTGATGTTATTGGGTGTGCAGGAGGGTTTTCCTCCTCTTGTAAATAGAGCCCCGTATCTGTTTGAAGGACTGAACACCAAATATGTTTTTTCCAAAGAGATGAAATATTTTCTGCCCTCATCCCTGGCCGAAAGCTGCCCTGAGTGCTAGGAAACCTGTGGTGGTGGTGTGGGAAATAGGGTCAGGCAGTCGGGTCTGGGAGGATGAAGCTTTGCTGTGTGCATTCATGCGTTGTCTCTCAAATTAGGATTTTAGAGAGTTGTATTCCCCACGGAGGGAGAAATGGGCATAAAATGCTGCCTGGCACAATCTACACCTGATTTACACCAAGAGGAGCGAGCTGGCTGGGGAAGCTGCTGGATAACAGGCATCCAGGCACAGGGAAGGAGCTCATCCTTTGGGCCAGCCTCATGCTGGAAGGACTGGAAGGGGTGGATGAGTCTTTTCTTGGGGGGAGAAAGCAGCTCGGCTGGTGCTGCCAAGGGATGGGAGGATGCTCTGCTGGGCAAAGATGAAAGGAGCCGGGTATAACCCAGCAAAGGGCCAAATGAGTCGGGACATGAAAAGCAGCAGAAAGCATCCGAAGAATGTAAACACCAAGGTGGAAGAGGAATTATTTAGCATGTTACGGGCTTGGAACTAGGTGCGAGGGGATGAAACAACAAGGAAAACTCACCCTTGCTAACGGGGAAGCCTTGCTAGCGGCTAAGCCTGGAGGGGAAAAGGCAAGAGATGGTGTCAGCAGAGCCACTCTGGAAGTCTCCTTG